ATGTGTTAGCTAAGCAAGGGGTAAATAGGGAAGAATTATTTTGGGCTCAGTTGTGATTCTTGTTTTTCTTTCCTAGTTTACTTGTAAGTTTCAAGGAGGGGCTGCAGCTCACACCTCTCGTTGGGATGATGTATGAACTCACTCTAATTTGCTTCTGAATCAATAAACTTATTATTATTCATAAAAAAAAAAAAAAAAAAAAAACATTGGTCCTATCCATCCAGGGTCTTGGGGAGGGGTGGGCTGGATATATACCTAACCTTTGGCATTTTATTGCCAAAGTGACAGCCATCCGACCTGTATTTTCATGGTTATCAGCCCAATATTTGGAGGTATATGAGTATATCATAATCTAAAGAGAAACAGGGTAAGAGCTCAAAGGTAAGTATGAATTTGGAGGAAGAGGGAGTGACTTATGCAGATTCTATGAAGGGTGGTCCTGATTCCAGCCTATTTGCTACCTTCTGCTATGTTAGTTCTCCATCGACTTCATAGAAACACCGAAAACCGTAGGGGTGCAACTTGGGGGTGATGGGCTTAAGTTGAGCATCTATTGAATTTCAAAAGAGCTTAGGCCTTAAATGCAGTGGAAAATCTTCAAATCACATATCTGATCTGCACACCCACCAAGAATGATCATTTTCTTTCTTCTTAATCCTCATCTCCACCCATTAATGGAGAGGTGGTGCACTGAGAAATTAAGAAATTAATTCAGGAAATGAGATTGAGGTTTGATGGCAAAACCAACACCAAGAATGGCAAGGTGTTCTACAAGAGAGAGAGAGAGAGAGAGAGATTTTTCAGACTTCAAGTCACTACAGCTTGACAGCCTGCTTGCCACTTGATTGAAGGAGACTCTTCCAGTACCATAAGATGGAAGAAAGGTATGGAAGAGGATTGCGGAGACTACATCACTTGATGAATGAAACTTAGTTTCTTTTGAGATCTTTTCTTCAGTTTTAAGGTGGATCCTTTAGCTATTGCTGCCAGCTTACCTAGATCTGGAATTAATCTTGCTCTCTTAATCTTTCTATTTCTTTAATCACACTAATCTACTAGAATAAATCCAGAATTTCTAATTCCAAGTACTGGGATGGAATGAACAGCGAGACCTTGTTTCCATAGGATGCTTGTATAGCCAACTGCTGGTACAATTTCACAATGGGCTCATATTATTTTGTCTGGTGTCCATCTTGTACATCATCCTTTGAAATATTTTCTCATTATATAAATTAAGTAGTTTTTAAGCCAAAGGAAGAAAACAGTTTGTAAATAGTAAACATCACCAAGAAAAGTGTCAATCTATTGGGTAAATGACTATAAGCCTAATGACGTTCAGCAATAGAAAGTGTGGTGTAAGCTCCTAATGGGTGGGATCCCAACTCAATCCCTGGGTCAGTCTTTATTGTCCTTGCAAATATATTAAAAGAGTTTGCCTTCTTTTTCCTCTGTCAATTAACTATGTAGCCTTGGACAGTGAAATTACCATTATTTATTAAGTCTAGGATATACTTAAGGATGTTGAGATAATTGTTCTAACAAGTTTAAGCTTCAAATTCATTATTCTACTAGTGGCCATACTTTCTCTATGTTAAAAACGTCCAATCAACTTCACTTTTCCACTGTTCAAAAGATTATTCAATTAACTATTCAAAGAACTCAAGCATGGCCATTTGGGCATAATTTAGGAGAATTATGACCAAAATACAACAGTATACAAGTCAACTAGTATAGAAGCCATTGCTTGGTTTAATAGTAAAATCTCAGGCTGACAAGCTTGAGAACGTAGGTTTGAGTCTGAGAGCAGCCTCTTTGTGTGGGGAAAAAATACCAAGGGTTAGGTCTGTATCCAGTCTATCCTTCCCATCCAAAACTACAGATAGCTGGGACCAAACATTGGGTAATGGCCATTTAATACAAGTCAACCAGTATGTAAGTCTAAGTTATTTAAACTACTTTGCACTCTATATTTTTGAAATTAATAGTAATTTAAAATCTGTTCATGTGCCTTTTAGTAATTAAGCGGGAGGACTTTCCATGAAGGACACCATTTCCTGCAAGTTGTAAGAGGGAAAGTTGATGACATTTTTTTTATCAATATTGATGCCATTTTGTTTCACTGGTAGCTTCAGGCAAGTTCCTTAGTTGCATTTGGATGGGAGACACCTTGAGAAACAGAGATAATGTGGTTGGACTGCATTCTTGAAAAATGATAGCTATAAAAAGTTGGCCTCCCTTTCTTGGCATTAATCTCAAGTTCTAGTGATTTAAGGAGAACACCACTGCACTTGGAGCAGACAACTTCCCTCTGGTTTCAGTATCCCCTCAGCTGAGGGCTTCTCTCTAGCAAACTGACTTGAATGGAATCTTGGTACCACCTTTAAGCTGGTTCAAGTAAGTAGACCAAAGGTAACCTCTCTAGAGGGGCATCAGAATCGGGGAAGACTGCTCTTTATTAGTAGTTATTGTTAGGCAAATTTTAATAGTTGTATAATGACATGTCGGCCAAGAATTGATAACATATTTAAAGATATGAAAGGTATAGTAGTATCCAGTTCTTTCACTAACAACTGATGGGGGTTTTAACTCAGCCAAGTCTAATGCTGCATGACATGAGTCTTATGATCAACTTGTGGTTCTCTTGTATTATGGTTCAAAGGGACTCCAAAAAGGCCATCAACCAGGTAACTAATATGGGTAGCTCACCATAAAAATTAGCCTATGATCAACTTGTGGTTCTCCCTTTTAATATTTCTTTTTCCAATAAATATGCCTGTTTTTTATCTATAAAATGAAAAGATAAAGAAAGGGTCCAGAATAAAAGCACAATCCATGAATTACTTCTAAGCAGATGGAGACATACCTGACTGGAAGATCACTATCTGCACCAAAGTTTATCCTTGCAGATACACTGAGAAAGTACTGATTTTCCACAGCTGTATAGTAAACTGAACCATTAAATTGTCGAAGCTCAAGGGATGAGATGAATGGTTGTCCAGTTGTAGCATTGGACAAACAGACGCTAACTGTGGAAGAAGAAGCCAAGAATATCAACTCTCGGACCTCTACAGTATTAACATCAGAGATGACAATGCTTGACCAATGAGTAGCACCCAGAGAGATGTCAAACTTTGGATAAACATTATTGTTGTCAAAGTTCCCATATAAGAAGGTTGCTCTTATAAGGTATCGAGTTCTAGTCACAACATCAAGTGTATAACAATATTTCCTGTTATCTGCTGGAAAGTGTCTCAGTGTCATATGCTGCTTCCGTGTTGCATTTGCTACAGTGATGTTTGTTGTTTCACCATACATAAATTTATCATCAGGGGTCCATTCTAGCCCTAGATCATCAGTGAAATTCTCCTTTCCCCCACAGTCTAAGCTTACAAAACCTGCTTGGGAAATCAAATGTATTAGCAAGCAATGCCAAAAATTGGAGATCCAGATATCTCAGTTTCTTCTTCTTGAACAAGAACCCCTCAGAAAAGCTGCTTATGCCAATCAAGAAGACATAATGAAAAACCTATCTAATGACATTAGAAAGTGACATGTTACAATCTCAGTGCTTCTAAAAACTAAACATTCACTAATAAAGCTTTTTCTTAACTATTTTGTGTACATTCTCTCACCTAGACACTATTCCCTCTTTTAATTTTTAGTCCCCATTCATTTTAGTTACCCAGGAAAGTTTGGTTACCCAGGTAAAACTTGCCTCGGTAAGCACACTTCCCACATTCTTTTACGCTACGAATTTTCCCAGGCAAGTGTTTCTACAGGGGCATTTTTTAATCAATTGTAACTTCCCGAGTATTGGTTGCAGATGGGTAAGTTATTAAGTTACTTACCCAAGTGGAGGGAGGGTATTAATTTCCCAAGTAACTGATATCCTTGGGTATCTTCATTTACCGTGGGACCCAGTAATACAGGAAATCGAATCCGGGTAAGTTGGTCAACTTACCTGCTGACCAACCTACCCCCCCCCCTCCCTTCTAAATACCAGAAAACAAGCAGGGCCTTATTGATTTCTTACATTCTTAAAAATAAAAGATTCTTAACTATTTTAATTCTTTACATCCATTAAGCTTACTCTTACAACAACTAAGAACTTGGTCAATATTTTCATACCTCATAGAAATTTAGAATAGTGATCATGGTACTATCTAAATCCAACTTGGACATTTGATCCAGATTGGTTCCAAACGCAACCTTCAAAATTAATCCAATTAAACATACAGACACCAATGAGCAAAAAATACAGACACCATAACCATTGACACCTTTAATTTAATGTTCATAATTAAGGATCACTTAAAGGTTGTGATGTGATGGAAGCTTCAAGGAATGTAGCCAAGCTGTCAAATTTGTGCAAAAACCCTGGAACCCAACTCTTCAAATTAATGTTATGGAGTTAAGCTCTAAAATATATTATCAAATGTATTTCTTTGGATCTGAACCTTAATGGAGGTAATTTATTTATATCTAGACTTCTAGAGTATGTACATTCTTCTCAAAAAAAAATGCAATTTCTTTTTCTTTTTTAGGTTTGTCCAAGCAACAACAAGAACAATGAAATGAAAATGTTTTATCATTTATAGCTAGATAAAGATCCAACTTGTTGTCTGAAGCCCTCCTTCTTGGGTTCCATCCCCCCCCCAAAAAAAAAAATTAAATAAATAAACATAGAAAACAAATGAGTTAAATTGATCCATCAAAATTTTTATCCTTCTTGTCCTTTTATGTGTCTTAATTTTTTGGTCTCTTGAGATCTCTTACTTGAAATTTGTTTCCAAGCCCATTTACTCTCTCCCGCTTTTTAGGAATCTTTTGTTATCACCTACAAGCCTATGATCCAGCTTAAACCATTTTTATCTCACCTGTTTTCGTTGTTTTAATATTAAAACCCATAATTAAGTGGTCAAGGACATGTGGTTCCCTCCAAGCAACTACAAACAGGGAAACCAAGATAGTTTATATCAGTATTTCAGGAAAAGTTGTCCATATGCCTAGTACTACCTCTCGTAATGGCTTAAGTGCAGTACTTTTAGAATTTGTTTACTTCAAAATGCAGTCAAGTCAACTAGAACCAGTAAAAAGTTCGCTTCCTGTTTCCGGATCTTGCTTATGGAACACTAACCTAAAAATATAATTTCCATGGTTCCAACAAATAAGAAAGATAAAAATAAAGAAAGAAAAAAGCCACCCGGTTGAAGAGCCAATCCTTTCTATTTTTCTCCTAATATAGCTAAGTTTTCTAGATCCTTTAAAAATTATCAAGTGGTTTTGTGAACAGAACATACGCAATATCCGTCTGGTTGATCCATGTCAGCTATGGCTGAGCCATACCCTTAGTGGTTTATACTGAAACAAATTTAAAGAAAACATGAAAATAATTTAGAAATTGAAAGAAAGAACCTTCCAGTTTTTGCAATTTTAAAACAAAACAGTATAATGCCCACTATATTCAAGTTTTCCCAGTACCCTACAATTTAGTGACCTATCAAATCCAGCATTGGGATACATGCCTAAGACACTGCTGGTGTAACATAGTATAGAGCTTCAATACCAGTAAGAGCCAACTAACAAGTTAGCAGTTTGGTTAGAAATCGAGATGAACAGAATGAGATATAAACCAGAAATTCTTATTTTTCTCAGTTCATCATTGTCTTTACATGCATCTAGTTGTTCTAAACTATGTTAAAAAACTCTTCAACGTAGAAAATCAAGATAACAAGGGAAAAAATAAAGAATTAAAAGCTGAAAATATTCAAAGCTCATCCGAAACGAAGAAATCCTAAAAATTCAAAGCAAAATCGCAACAACACTAATTGTCGTGAATTCAAGAAAATAAAGGAACCCTACACACCTACACAACGACTTAAATTTATATCAAAGTAGTCCGAACATGCATCGGTTTTTATACATTCAGTGAAAGAGTAAAGAATCCCAGTCCTCTTTAGTTGAAAAGAAAATTCTAAAAAATATATATCTGCAGAAACTCATAAGCATTAAAACTTTAAAAAAATATATGTAAGGCGGAGTGAGTGAGCGAAAGACAAACCAGGCACTTGGGCTCTGGACGCGTTGATGAAAAGAAGCAAAGACAGCGAAAGCAACAGGAGAAGCCTGGACTCCATTTCCCAGTTACAGAGGAGTCTGAGAATGAGCAGAAGGCATCACAGCAGTGGATGGAGGGGGAGAATGGCGAGGTGGTGTATGAGAAGAGTGGGAGACAGCAAAAAAGCAAGGATGAAAGGAGAGGCAGATGAATATTAGACCGAGTTGAACTGTTGGAGCGTTCGATAGATAGACGGAGAAAGAAGAGGAGTCTTCCTGCCACAGCGGGTGGGACCCAAGGCCACGTTTAACCTGGACTTTTACGACTTCAAAGTGAAAAAGTAGGAGAGAGAGAGAGAGATTCCACCACTACGACAGCACAGTACTCCGTCTAGTACCATTGCAACCTCCCTGACGGAGGCCTTTACTTTTCTCACATCCACAATTCCATTTTGATGCGGGACATGATGAGATGGTGGGTTTTCTATATCAAAAGCTACTCCACATCTCAGGAAAAACCATTGGATTAGAATAATTTAGGCCAAGAAAGCAGCCACCGTACATCATCAACAAGATTAAAACGGGAGAATGACAACGAATCCAGAGATCATCTGTTTTGTAGACTGTTACCAATGTCTGAACTTAGAGAGTCTACTTTTGGTGGGGACTGGGGAGGGGCGAGTGGTGGGGACCATGGCAAGGGCACTGATGTCCATGGAGTTGAACTGTACTGGGTGTAGGTGGATGATTCACTGAATCATTGAACCAGCTAAGTAGAGGGACCAGCTTTGTGTGGGGATGGGGAAGAGACCAGAGTGGGTTAATCACAAATCAACGTCACATGCCAAGACCTCTTCTTTCTTCTTACTAATCAAACAATATGGAACCAAAATAAAATAAAAAAAATAGAAATGTGGACTTGTGTTGTGCAAACCCTTTGTTCAGGTACCACGTCAGCAATGACCTGGATAATCCAATGTGTATTATCCAATTTCTTTTTTATGTTCATCTTTTTTAAATAATAATATTAAGAGGATTCCTATCAAAGCAACAGGCAACCGAAATGATTTTTGGGGTTTTTATTGCTCAGTTACCCATAAAATTGAGTACAGCTGGAACATGAAGAGGTGGGGGATGAATCAAAATTCAAGAAGTAGCAAATCATAGGCAGAGAGATGTTTGTAAAAAGATTAAAACAAATCCAAAAACCTAAGAAAAATTCGTGAGGTGGACTGAACTCTAAATTTCCAAATGATCTTTCGGTTATATGGGATTTGATCCTTACTGCAAATCATGCTATGTATTGAGAATATCTTCCCATGGATAAAAAGACACGAGTATAGAGATATTTCTAATGTGTGGATGGGACATGTTATGAGGAGCAGATCTATACAATTTTTGGAAGTGCCAACTTGTCAAGCCAGTCTTATTTATATGCGTAAATATTGATTATATATGTTAATACTTGTTCCTCAAGATAATTTATAACTATTTTTAATTTATCTGAATTTTTTTGTTATTATTATTCAAGCCATAACCAAATTATCAATTATATGGGGTCAGTTACATGAATCCTATTTTTGATCATCATCCTCATTCCGTCCTTTTAATGTCATATCCATTATTAAATTATGAGCCTTTAAATCATTTCTTATTGCTTTGACCTATGTCCTTTTTTTATCTACCCCTAGCTCTTATGGACTATTCAATTTGTAATTGATTGATTTTTTCTTATGGGTGTTCTAAATGGTTGTCTATGCATGTGATCAAATCATAAAACAATGCTGCTGATGTGTGAGTCGGAAGCACCATTTTTTGAAAAAACAGTGTCTTTTTTTGTATAGAAACATTGCTGTCAGTAAGACATTTCCTGAAGCAACAACAACATTTTCTGTTTGCCAATGCTCCATAAAACATTTTCAGCACTGGTACTCATTATCTAGTGCCACATCACTGCCACCTCACGTCCATGTTGATAGCAACAAACTGCAGCTCCAGGAAACGCCAAATTCAACACTGCTCAAAGCCATACCTTCCCGATTTCCCTAATACACACTCTTATATATTATTAAATATTTGTCTATAAACGTAATTTTGTATCTGAATTTTTATTTATTTTATTTTTATTATAATAATTCGAAACCAATGAGTTGAACTGTTCAACCCCATTGCCCGACCACCAAAACCAATTTCTGTCCGGTCCAAATCCCACAACACTGCTTAATTATGCATTCATGAAAGCAGTTCTGTTGTAGCATGTGATAATGAAGTTATGCTAACCTGATGCTGCTAAGTAATTGTCCCACGGAAGATCTGTCATTAGATTAAAGAAAAACTGAAAAAACTTTACGTAAATGAGAAGGTTAATGGACAGTTATCAGCACTCTTAAATTTTTTGTTTTAATATTGGTAGCGGTTGAATATTTTAGTGAGTAAGCATCAAGAGTGGAGTGTGCAAATAAAAAAAGAGCGGAGTGTAGACAAAAATTGTGCCATGAAGCCAATCTGGTCATAAAGAGATTGAAGGGTGTCAATTGGCGTCGATTTTGCGACAACTGACAACTGGTCCCACTTCCCATGCTTGTCGTATAACAAGACAATTTCATGAGTTTGCCCTGCGAGAACCGAGAAGCGACGGTGGGAGTGGGACTACTGGGTCATGTCTATTCAAACGAGTTGGGACTGGGATCTCCTCTACTAATAAAACTAGTCGACTACGGCTGTAATCGGATCGGATGCAGCATCTGATAGCATACATCCGAATCCGATTCAAAATTCGACCGGAAATTTTTTTAAATATCAAAAATATTAAAATTTATTTATTTTTTAACTTTTATATATAATAAATTAATATAAATATAATACATTAAACTTATTATATACATAATTCACATATAATAGAATATATAGAATATAGTTCTATAATTTTAAAATATAATTATATAAAATTTATATATTAAAATTAATAAATGTTATATCATAATCGGATTCGGATTTTAATCAGATCGGATGGGGTTAAATCCAAATCCGATCTGATTATTAATTGGATGTAGATTGCAACGGTCGAATCCAATCCGATTACATATACATCATCCGAGTCCAATATAATCACATCAGACGTCGAATATAGTTTCGGATTTTCGGGTAACATTGACAGCCCTAAATAAAACACATTCAAACACCCTTTCAATATATCATCTGATACTGCACATCTCATTATAAGATTTAGGGAGAAGTACCGATCAGCCCAGCTCACAATTTACTAGCCACAAAGTACATGGGAAACGCATCCTGACCGTGAATTGATGTCAAATTCACGGGCAGGATGTGGTTTATAGGGAGGGAGAGGGCTACTCGTAGGGGGTGGCTGGAATTCAGAATTCTGCATCGTGTGTATTCGTACTTTTCCCTAAGATTTATGATTGAGATCTATTATATATATATATATACAATACACTAACTTTTCAAGGTAGGTAAAAATAGTGGAACTCAAATCCATGTCTCTACTAGGATTACCCAACTAACATGCCAACCATGCTACCACTTAGTTGGCGGGATTCATATTGAGTTCAGATCTCCTGCCCATGTTTATCACAGTCATACATGGAGAACATCTCATCCTCTGCATAGTATTATGCAGGGGGAGATGTTCCCAATTCACAGGGATAGTATATTGTGGGTAGGCATGGGCAGAGTTCTTGTGTGCAGGAGATCCGGAGTCATCCACATCCACTATGAAATTGAGAACCATCACCTCATGTATGAGATGCACTATTAGACCATGTTTGAAGGGTGTAGAACATATTTTGTTGACAGGAGATCCGGACTTAGGTCTAAATCACAGTCCACTAATTCAAGTTCAGCATTTTGGTTTGAGTCTGGATCAGATCCCAACAAAAATACTTCCAAACACGATATTATATCCACCACCATGGTTCAAAGTATCAATACAATTCTATGCATCGGTACAGGTGTACGGGTGCTTTATAAATGTATTTTCTATTTTTTAGTTTTTCTTCACAATTTTATTTTTATAAATAGTTATATTTATTTAATAAATAAAATAAATAAGACCCCGTTTGATTTGCAGGAATAGGGGTTTGGAATCAGAATCGGAATGGGTTATCCCAATTCCAACTGTTTGGTTGGATTGAATCGGAATCCCATTCTTATATCTGATGGAATGGCATTCCTCCATTTGAGGGAATGGCCATTCCCTGCCCCTCCCTTGGGAATGAAATCATATTCCTATTGATTCTAATTCTCATTTTCATTTCTGTCCGAACCAAATAAACCATAAAAATGGACCATTGTGATTTTAATTCCAACTGCGAGCCAATGAAAATACCATTCGGATTCCAATTTCAACTACGAACCAAATGAATCTTAAATTCCTAAAATCACCTTTAAATAAGTGTATCAAAACCTTGCCAATACAATACAATATATGTAATACAAGACGTACCATGTCGATACTTTGAAGCTTGATCCACACATCTCTACGTTCCGTATGCATTGATGGGTCATACTTTTGAGGAGACAATCATATTTGAGTTGTGTAGATATAAATCCTCTTGCGAGTTGGGAGTAGATCCTATCTCTTTTGATTTAGTATCAAGGATATCCTCCCAACCAAAAACCGTTTTAATACATTTTAACATGATTCATGTTCACACATGGCAATGGCAAATTTTCTCATCTCTGGCGGGTACTGATTTCCCCAACCCCATTGGGTCGGAGATGGGGATTGCTTTGGCGGGGCATGGATGGAGACAGGGATTAATAGGGGTCCTCGATCGGAGTTAGGGTTGGGGATAGGGAATGAAGTCCCCACTCCACTCAACCCTGATTATATATTAAATTTATATTATTATATATATAATATTATTTGTATTATAAATACTAAAATATTATTTATATTTAATAATTTTAATTTATTTTTAAAAATACTATTAACTAAAAATTTCGAGGATTTAAGTCCTAATGAAAAATCCATCTCCGTTAAAAATCGGGAATGGAGAACAAGTTTTTATCCCCAATGAAAATTGGAATAAGGACAATTTTTTTTTCCAAAATCGAAGTTCAGAATGAAGAATATAATCCCTGTCCCAAACCCGCCCCATTATCATTCCTGTTCACACATCTCACTTTAAGGTTAGATCAACCCACCATGTATGACACGTGTAAAATCCACATATGTGTAAACACAAATCACGTCGAAGCTTTCTTTTTTATTTTTTGGGAGGAGATC